CGCGGGTTTACTCGCTAACAATTAAAAGGGGTCAGACGATTGTGTAAGGGACAAACCTCTTGGAACAAAGTCCCAAAAAGGGGTAGTTATTGAATATGAAGATTACAGTTTGGACATGAACAAGATGCCTCCAAGGGGCGCAAGCACACAAGTATAAAGGAATTGAAGTAATTAAAAGTTAATCTAAGAAAAGTAAATTACATGTTCTCTGTTTTGAGAGTGAATTTTGTCTGGGCTATCTTCGTTGTCTTCCTCTTTCTTTTATACGGTTTGGGCAGTTTTGATCGTTTAAAAACTGCTTGTAACTACCGATTTATTTCATCATGGTCGGCTAGCCAATAACTACCGTGTGCAACTCCTATCACCACGTCCTCTTTATAACTGCTTGCGATCAACTCTCTCAAATCGTGGGGCGTAATTGTGATGTGCTCAAAGTGCCTCAGATCGTGACTTTGGATAACAACATGCTTTAGTCATTGCTGGGACTCTGGGCGACTCAACATTTTGGGCGACAATTGGTCTTCTGCTCTGGGCGATTATAGGATGTTTCATTCGCTCAACATTTGGGCGTTCTGCAGGCTTGGGCGATGACGCACCTTTTGTTTTTTGGGCTTTCATCATATTTAATGACATTTCTGGTTGGGCTTTTACCCTGATCTCTCTAAATGGGCTTTTTCTCTTGGACCATTTCTTCTCTTGCGCCATTTGAGTTGGGCTGTATATTTTGCGTGTCAGCAATAATTTAGCAACTTCTATAGTGGTTATGCACCTTAGAGTTAAGGTAATCGTTTTATCTAATCATCTTCTCTATGTGACAAAAGCGTAAACATGTAATTAAATCACGAGGTGTTTTTTATGTGGATGAATCTGAATAGTTTTTCCTCTACAGACACTTCGCGATTGAGGAATTTTAAAAATATCCCACCATTTTGAAAATCAAAGGAAATCCCTTATATTTTGATATAGAACACAGGTAACAATCAGTAAAAAGTAGAAACTATTTCATTCGATACAGATGTAGCAAAACCATTATTAAGATCTCAACCACAACCATATGGCAAACTAAGACAATTAAAAGTGTAAAACCCAAAACAATTCCAAGATAACGATACAAAATCTTCAATCAGAAAGAGAAATTGATGGAAACAGAGCTTCCCCAGCTAAAATTTTTTAACATCTCCCTCGAGGAAAAAGCAAAAAGGTGCAACAACCAGAGACGGTTATTAAAGCTCAAAGATGGAAATTTGAGTGAGTAAAACATTGGAGAAAAATCTGAAACACAAAAAAAAGGAGCCAATGATACCTTTAATAAATAAATACAACAAACCAATTTCATTAAAATCGACTTGTTCCCACAAAAAGAATGTAAAAAAAAAAAAGAAGAATACAAAAAAAAATGGANAAATAGGCTTGTTAAGATCACATCACATGTTATTTCCATGCTACACATCCATGCTATTCAGTTATGTCAATATACGTGACCATTGATGGGTTTAGTTACGATATAAGTAGCGAAAGCTGCTTTGATCCTACATTTATATGATTGATGGACCGGATTAGTTGGGGATGCATTCGGTAATGATAGTAAAATTCTGAGTACTCATAAGGTTATATTTAATGCACAAATATAAGGTAACACATATAACCCAAGTGGGAGATTGTAAGGATTTTAATCAAACATGTGGGCTTATATGTGAAATATTGTGTATTAAATTAAAGGCTATCAATTTCGGTTAAGCCTGTTTAAAGTGATCTAATAAGGTTTCGATATTTTGGGCTTTAAAGTACCTAATTAAAGTATGGACTTATATGTATAAAGAACGGCCATGTTCCTAATTCCATGATGGGCCGAATTAGGTTAATGGGCAATTAGTATAAATATACGGTTGTTGTCCCCGGATCACAGGTTGTATTCATTCTATTCTGACTCCCATCTTCAGAGAGAAACAAAGGAACAACGTATTGATCTGGAAAACTAAAATCGCAGGACGTGTTCATTGCAATAATCATGTCCGATCCAGGTACGCTTTCGCTTTTGATTATTAAGTTCTTGATGATCCTACATGAATGATCCTTATGGCGGTAAAAAATAATATTTTCTCCAACATATTTATCAAATTCATTTGTAGAAGAAACGATCTCAAACAATGCTTCTCTAGAAGAAGGGAGGTCATGCATTAGACCCTTTGATGAGTGAATTGTGAAATAGACAAATACGTGATCGAAGCTCTTTGGCTCTTATTGAATATCTAGAACCTGTTATCAATACTTAGAAATAATAGGAAAAAAAAAATCTCATAGAATCAACGTGGCCCACACCCTTAGATGTATATGCCTCGGCCTCATTACATTATAGGGAAAACCAACTAGCTAAGGATTTGAGTGTATTCAATGAAAGAAAGCAAAATAGTAAAAATAATTGAAATCCATAGTAATGATATATTTTTGTATTGGACCAAGATCTAAATCTTGATCTTGTTGTAAGGATTTAATCGATTCTTGATGCTCTATTAGAATCTACCAGTACTGATTTTGTGCTCTTTTATTTCATCATTCCACATTCATCCCCCTCTCTAAAGCATGCCTCGTTCGTTTTTTAGTAGATGAATATCTTAAAAAACAACTTGGAATTTTAAATACAATTAATTAATCAATAAACATTGTCTCATTTAGGCCCTGTTTGAGTCAAATTATTGTAGAATGAGAATGAAAAATATAGTCGTTATTGGGACCTACATAAGAGATAGAAAATTTGAATTTAAATATTGATGTAATGGATAACGGTCATATTTTTTTATTTTAATGAGATAATAATGTAGATCAAATGGGGGCTTACTCTAATTTCCATTAACACCCATCTATTAAAATTACACAGTTAGCAAATAAAATCACAAATAAAGGAAGGAAAAAAAAAAAATCTAAAAGGAGAGAATGAGTAGTAAAGGGTTTCAGCAACGGTCACCAATCACTAAGGGTTCGTTTCGTTTGTATTTTAACATTGAGTTTTAAGTTCATTTTTAGTTTTCTATTTTGAGAATATGTTTTAAAATTGCTAAAAACGTAATTGCTTTATCATTTTGAAAAATTATTTCTCAAAATAGAAAATTTAAAAACAAGTTTGGTTTGAAATTTAAAAAAATTATTTTATGACATTTTATTTCATGAACTTTGATTATTTAGTAAAAATATAATAATTTTATGTCAATATATTATCATTTAATATATGCATTTTAAAGTTAGTGTGTCTTACAATATTTTTTCTCGCTATAAATAAAAAAATAAAAACAAATAATAAATTGAGTTAAAATTAAAATAAATAAAAATATAAATTAATGATGTGAACTGAAAATATTTCTATCTATGTTCATTTAAATATTTTTTTATAATTTTTATATAAATAAACATTAAGAGCTTGAATTATTTTTAATTTTTAGAATTTTAGGTTTTATTTTTTTAAAATTTTTATCTTTAAAATTTTTACTTTTTAGAATTTTACTTTTTTATTTTTAAAATTTCATTTAAATAAAATTTTATTTAACTGCTTATTTTCATGTTTTGAGTGTTTTTATAATTTTTACCGAAAACACTCAAAACTGTCATAATGCGTTTTGAGTTTTATGTTATAAATTTAAGATTGTTTTCAAAAATGCATTTTTAGAAATATCATATTAAACACGTTTTCAATATTTTGCAAAACTAAAAGCTAAAAATAAGTTGAAAACAGCAAATCAAACGTACCCTAAATTTAAGTAAAGATTGCAAAATGGTCATTGAAGTACATTTTTATCGTAGTGGCTACTCAAGTTTATAATTGTCACCCACACAGGTGGAAACATCAGCCGAAACATCCTTTATGGTACCCTTAAAAACCAACATGGACACAAACAACTTTGAAACTAAGGGAACAATAACTTGGGGAGTTAGGAATAACGTTAAGATGGAGATAAATAACATTAATAATTCAAATGAGAAAACATATACACAAATATATTTTAAATTTAAAGGTATTTTTTCAATTAATTTCTATTAAAATTAAGATTATACCCGACATAGCATAGTAGTTAAGATGAGTCACGTTACATGTATATTACCTTTTACGTCATTCTTTACATTATAACACGTGGCATCATCTACACCATTCATTTTGAATCTTAAAATTACATCAATGCACTGTCACCCTCCACATCAGGAGGGATGTAAAGCTAGATGTACACAAGAATGTACATCTAGCAAAATTCAGTTAAGATTGTCTTTGTCTAAGTTGGTATTTAATTGTGGGATTAAACCATTTGTACAAGGTCCTTGACATGGCTTTGTAAATTCAAAAGTGAATGGGCGGGAAACTGTTTTTTATTTTTAAACTCGTCAATTATGCTGCGACATATGGAACCATATAAAACTTCATGTAAAACTCCAAGTACTTGTAGCATGGTGCCACTTGGCTTTCTAGATAGCCTTTCCAGCTGAGTAATCATTAGAAACTTGAGTGAGCGATACTGTAAGAACATACTGAAAGAAAATATATTGTTTAACCATTTTGAAATTCTTAACAAACGTGCGTTGTAAAATTAACTCAAGTAAGCACACAATAAAGTGGAAGAAGAACTTATAAAATTATGGTATGCTTTTTATGTGGTATTGAGCCGACTAAATAACGTCAAAGAAAAAGTTACAATCATGTGTACTATAATGTCGAGTCCAATGCATTATTATGCACTCCCTTGTGTTTTCATGGTTGCGTTTCCAAGACTTTCACCTTCTTCCAGCATTTTAACTTGCTTAGTTAGATTATCTTTCATTTCAAGAAAATCTTCAAGTTCTGCACGATAATGGGAAGAAGGCAAGGTGCATGGAGATGAATCTGCTGGACCTTTCACCATTGAATCTATCCTCAATTTCTTCTTTAAACCTTCGACAGAACAAACCATTGTCTCTGAGCACACTTCAACAGCCCCTTTTGGTACAGCAGGTTTATATTTCAGAAGTTTAGAATATTCATTCAGCAAATGGAACATGTAGTCATAAATATATTTCATTCTTAGTTGTTCTTGAATATACTTGCTCCCTGTTTTTCCAATCTCCTGTGCCTGCAGAAAGCCCAATAGTTGAAAATTAACAGAAGAATAAGAATCTCTTGGGTCGTATGCAACTTTGGACCCTTGATGCAGCACGCGAAAGAGAAAGTACGAGAGAGATGTATTGAATGACTGAATAATTCTAGGAAATACGCACTGCAGGGAGGGCCCTTTTAAGTAGAGCATAGGCAAAGAGCGAACGCGAGAGATTTTTGGAAGGAGTAAAAAATTGAGAACGTTATAGCTAAGCGTAAATCGAGCGAGTTACTCATTTTCTTGCTTTTGAGTAACAGAAGTTACTTTCTTGGAATATTGTTCTTTCCTAACTCCAAAAATAAGAAACTTTAGTATTTCCAATTCCAACTATTTTAAACTATTTATGTTAGAACTTACTTTTTTACTGGTACATAATCTTGCTTATAAGCTTAGCCATACATTGTAGTTCTCGAAAGTTATAACGTTGTCACTTCTTCTTCTCTCGGACTTTCTCTATCCGGGCATCAAGTGATAATTGTTAAATATTGATTTTCATATTAGTAGCAACAATATATAAACAAAAAAATGATGGGATGTGTTTAATATTGGTAGACGAGAAAGTCACCTTATTCATATGTTTGTTGCCCCATTGGACTGCGAATTTGATTGATTTACACTTGTCTTTCTTGTTGATTGGCCAGTAATGGATTGTGGGTAGCAAACTTCTTGTGAAAAAATCGTAGTAACGAGGGTTTATCATCAAACTCATAGAATCACAGGCTAAGATGTATTTTTTACTGACAGACCACGACACCCCTTCGACGTAAATTTTGTATCTGTATATGATCATATGAAGAAATTAAATGAGTTGAAATTATTTATTGGAGAATGTGTGATTGACAAGAAGAGAGAGAAAAATGGATTATAATTTATTGGAGGCCAAACGGGGAGCTAAGAGAGTTATATGAAATTCTTGCATACCTGTAATTGCATTGGCTTGCTAAATCTGCGGTTTTAAATCCATGTTCTATCTCATGTTTCCAATCCTGCACGTGAAAATTATGAGCATATCTAAGTAGCATGGTAAACGGGGCGACTCGGATAGTGCCGGTCCATCACTATCCGATTCGAACCTCTACGTCCGAGTCTGTGACAAACTACTCAAAGGGAAATGAATATTGCTCAAGTTATTGGAAGAGAAGGATCTTTATGTGTAAGTAAGTTCAAAGAAAGAACTTGTTCTTCTCATGTTGGAAATTCTTCCAATATTTTCGAATTATGGAGATTATCACAACATGGTATTTGGCGTAGGTAAAGATTCTGAATTCAAGTTATCGTCACCTCAGTGATGAAATCCCACGTGAAGAAAAAGTGAAAACTTCGTGTGTGTGAAGGATAGCAATCCTTTCTTACCACTTTGTCGATTCGAGTATTCCATTCGGAGCCATTGCATTTCAACAAGTCGTGTCTCCCCGGCGATACCTTGGCGTTACCTTTCCAATAAGCATAAGGTTCTCTTTCACTCCATTTGATTCTGCTGTTGCCTTCTTGCAAATCCTCTTTCAAGGTTTCCCAGGGCTTGATATTAAGCTCTGGCCTGCATAATCAACATAGCATACATGAACTATTGAAACGCGAGGTCACTCATTTATGAAAATGTCTTTGGGAAAAAAAGAAAAATTAATAACGAGGGCTTGTTGAAGACAAGTCTTAATAAGCCTATGTTTGACGATCATTATTTCAAAACTCTTTAATTCTCATACTCATTTTCAACTATACATTTACACAATAAAATATTTTGCACGTAAACTCGAAACTTTTCCTACTTTTTAACCACACATTTTAGAAAAAATCACTATTCAAAACTCGATTTTCTCAAAATAATGGCCATCAAACATGAGCTAAATAATTTTTCATCTGGTTTCAACACTAAACAAGCAATCGATCATGACGAAATACATCTAAATTGAACATTCTCATAAAACTAATCCCCGCCATAGACTCGTTGAAGATAAAATATCCTCAAGCTTCTAACTGCGGTGGTTTTACCCGAAAATGCAAAAGTCTGGCATTCAAGTCTTTCCTCTACCCATTTATGGATATTCACGCAGAATATCTTCGGTGAAAAGTGAATATAATTTACACTTGAGGTGATGAATTGAAGATAAAAACTATAAACACCAGTTTAATATATAAACGTTTAGATGAGATGGTTAACAAGACTAATAACGAGAAGGTAAAATCTTTACCAACCCCAGAAGGACCAGTCGGGAAAAACGATGTCAAAACTCGAGTCATCTCCACAATAGTGAAACATAGGCGGGGGAGGATATGAAGCATTCGATTGTCCATAATCGCATTTCTCTATCACCGGTTTGTCACCACACGCGAACATGAAATCCATATCCGGTAGCTTTCCTGGGTACAACCTAAGAAGCTGCAAAATCCCCCATATTGTCACAGTATCTCTAGTTTGGAACGCCTCTTTAAACTTTTTTATATACACACTCCCATTCACTATAACAATGTTAAAATCTGCTTTTTCTATCGCCTTCTCGACCATTTCTTTCGTAATTCCTGTAACTTTCCATGGTCTCAAATCTTCATGGATCCATTTAAAGTATTCTGGACATGATTCTGAGGGAGCATTGTTGTCTGTAATAATGTTTGTCAAAGGTGAAATGTCTGAACATTTGAGGGAACAATCAAATTCTGATGAATATTTCTGAGATGTTCCAAGGAGTAGAATTCTTTTCTGAAATGAACCTGCTAATGAAGACTGAAAGATTGAAACATCAGAACAAGGCTAATGTGAGAGCTAAGTTCACTTTACCACGGTAAGTTCGAAGTGATCTCATGACTCTCACTCACACAAAAAACCCGTCTCCTTAATAGGATGTTTGATCGATCCATGACCAAGGACAAGTGTACAATACGACTCGCTCTACGCTCTAATCCAATTTAAAAAATATGCAATATAAGGAAACAAAAGAAAAAGGAAAACTTACAACGAAAGATGAAACAAGAAATGACTTACTACATTGATCCATCTGAGTATTGTGGCTATTGCAACAAGGATGACAAGAAGAAAGGTAACCGATGTCTGAACCCCTCTCTTCGCTGGTCTTTCCTCCATCTCGTGCAATTTTAATACTATTTCATGCGATTCTGAAACCATAAATGAAGGCCCTTTTGAAATCTCGAGTCAAAAAATATTGGAGATATGACCAAAACGGGGAATGGCTAGAGAATAAATAAGATATTGAGATTTTCTTTCGCGGAACGTGACCGTTCCTCCTCATATCAAAAACCTCATGAAATAGAACAACTGGTCACAGATTTATGTTCAATCTTAGCAGTCTCCTTTAGTATAATCTGAACAAGAAATTATTATATTTTCTGTTTCGTATCAAATGAATTCAATAGTGTTTGAGAATCTTATTTATGAACTCAATACAGTGACCAGTAAATAAAATTATAGCTTATGGAGAAAGAAATATACTTGTATCGGTAATGTAAAATATATGACTGCAAAATGTTGCATTTGGAACATCATTAATTACCTTTGAAACGTGATCAAAGTAGTTGGCTCGATTTTTCGCCTATTCTCGAGTACGAAAACACGAGTATGAGCGCATCGATCACTATTCAGAAATTTAGATTCATGAACGTAATATTTAGAACAACAAAAATACTGAGAATAAAAAAAACCGAGATTCCTTATTTATAAAGGAAAGGTTCAATGGAGGGTCAAAATTCTGGTAATTTGTAAAATCAATTATGATAATCTAATAATCTGATAATTTGGAATATTTCATCTAATAATCTGGTAATATGATATTTGTAATCTGTAATATAATGTGATAATCTAATAAAAACATAATTATCCATTTGAAATTCATAATTAGGAATTAATTAACGTTAATTTGAATAACTTTAATTTTATTTAACTGGACTTCTTCATTAATCGAAAAACGATGTTTATCTAGCATGCATTGGAGCCTCCGATGCAGTATGAAGGGAAGAATCGAAGCTCCTGGGCCATCGTTCCACAATATTCTATAGAGCATCGATTATCGATTTTGTGTTCTTCTATTTCATTGTTTTTAATGAGTTTTGCTACACAAACATAATGCTTAACATAAGAGAAAACACAAAGCGCACACACGAGGGAGGTCGACATTATTTAATTCGGGTCAGGACCCACATACAATGTAAGAGGTCGATCAACTCTTATGTCAAGCATTATGTTCATTTAGCTTAATTCGTTTTTAATAGTACATCTTCAACACCCTCTCCAAAGCAAGTAGCGTTATGGTTCATTTTAATAAATGGAATTCCCAAAAATAATACGTAATGGTCGTCTCATTTACTCTAATCTCCATTAACATCCAAGTACGCAAATTACAGAAATAGCAAATAAAAAAAAGGATTTACTGTTTCTTGATTTGTTTCTCCCAATACTCGTTCTCCCATGCCTCAACTTCCTTAGTAGATTTCACCTTTGCATCAATAAAAGACTTCAATTCTTGGGGCTCATAGGGTGGAGGCATTGTGCATGGAATTGAATTACTTGGAGATTTCTCTAAGGATAATTCCATGAATTCCTTCCAAATCCCATCTGCAGGACATGCCATTGCTTCTGCACAAAGCTCCACTGCGTTTGTAGGAATTGTAGGTTTGTATTTAAAGAGCTTTGCATATTCATATAGAAGATGGAATATGTAATCATACACATTTTCCATCTTTAGATCTTCATGGATAAAGCGACTCCCTGCTTCTCCAATGGCCTTTGCCTAAAAACCCACAAAAGTTAAATCAAGAATTCATTAGATATAGCTATAAAGCTCGTAAATTTTAGTCAGTAATGGACAATATTCGGAAAGAAAAAGAAGCCATATTCTCATTCAATTATTGCAGTGTCAAGTATTGCATACCAAATATGCTTTACGTCAGCATATTTGGTATGTTAGACTAAACGAGACGAGATAAGCGAAATCTTCATCACACATTTCTTTTTCTTAATTGTGTCTAATTATGTTCAATTTAACGTATCAAATATTTATTATTCGTACAATGCTTGAAAGCAGTTTGGATCACCTAGTAGGATTAATAGTTCTAAAACCAGCCACAAATTCAACATTACATCCAATGCAGATATTTTTTTGGAACACAATGACAAAAGGTAATAGGATTATATCTCGAGAAATGAAGTATTCATATCACTAGTTTAGTTCAGTATTTCAACAGATCATGACACGAGTGCTTGTGTGGAACAAATATTGCACAATATGGGCATGTTTGGTATGGTAGACGGGACAAAATTAAGAAAAGACACATATAGTATATCAAACATAGTGTTTTCCTTAATCTTTTGCAGGTGGTTTAGTGAGAAAAAATTACCTTTTGAGTATGACTGTTGCCATATTCAACAGCAAATTTTAGAGACTTGCATTTGTCATTGTCCCTAACTGGCCAATAATGTTTCTGTGGAATCATGCCTCTTATGAAGAAATCATGCCAACGTAGCGAGACTAGCAATGTGGGCGAGTCACACGCTAAAATATATTTTTCACTAACAGACCATGCCCATCCTTCAATGTAAATTTTGTATCTGAAAAATACACATAAATTTTAATTGTCAATAATATTCAAAATTAATTTGGCCAATTTAACAGTGAAGATAAAATTTAGACGGAGGATTATGAATTCCCTACAGCAAAATTTAAATATAAGTGTAATTATTGAATGGCCAGCCACGTGATTTAATTTTAAATACTTGAATTATTATATATTAGAGAGTTTAAAGCATATTTAGGTTCCCAAACTTCCATTTTGGTTTCTTAACTGCGTTTGCAGGAAATGGAGACAAATAATTTTCAAATTAGCCATCATGTGCAGAACACGTGATTGCACAAAATTGTGCAAATAAATTCACGTTAAATTACTAGTGCAACAAAAATATAACATAAAAATGAATAAACAGAATTTTTAAATAGGAGATTCAACCTGTGGGTGCATTGGTCTGCAACATTTGATTGCTTGTACCCTATTTTGGCCTCCTTATCCCAATCCTGAGATATAATTGAAAAATATATAATTACATTTGTATAGAACCCAAACATGCCATACCAACCATATGCTACATACTATAATTTTATATACACCTACCAGTCTTAGTTTTTGTATATCAGTTAGGTGAATTGTCTAATCAATTACTCAAAAATAACCAAAGAAAATCTTTTCAATTCTAAAAGATATGTAGAGATTCCAAGGTGTTAATTATCACTTAGAAAAGAGTATTTTATATATTTATTCATTTTCTACCCACAAAAATCTAGATTCTTAAAACTTTTTTTTTTTCTGTTAAAGGATTATCGATACAATACTTCTAGAATCCACACGGAATATGATTTTATTCATTCTCAATTCTCTTTTTTGACCACCACTTGGAAAAATCAAGTAAAGAAGATGAAATTGATGGACTTCACTTGTAATTAGAAGGAAATATCATCAAAGCATAGTTACTAGAATTCAATCTGGACGTTGTTTGTCTTGTACTTATTTATTTCATGTTCATATGTCGAATGTTCAACTTTACATCCTCCTGTAAAGTACTTTATTCTTTCCTTTTCAATTCTGGTGAAATTTTCTTATTTTAAGAAATGGACAAGAATTGTTTAGCTTAATATGTATATGCTTACTTGAACGTAAAGACGAGTGTTCCAGTCATTTTTATCAGTACCATTGCACTTCATAAGATCAGCCCTCCATGGACACACATTGGGGTTTCCTCTCCAGTAGGCATAAGGCACTCTGTCTTCCCATTTGGTCCTCTTGTTCCCTTCTTTCATGTCTTTCAACACTATTCTCCATGGCTTTATATTTGTCTCTGCCCTACGAAAAATATATATAAAAAGATTACTCATTCATCAAGCAGACTCAAAAGTCCAATTCTTCATTGTAAAAATAACATTTTTTCTGCATAAATTTAGGCACAAGTCATCGTCTATCCTTTTCACGGAGCACATCAAAGTGGACATATGTGTAATCTTTAGACATTGTTGATAAGTTCCGCATGTTGAATTCAATCACACTCAACATGATCGAGAAAAAAGAAGGTTAAAATAGTGTATGCTGTTTGATTTACTAGAAGAGAGTATCAATTCTACAAAATAATCGAGTCTTCACTAGTTAATTTTGGTTCCAACAAGGATTTCCACCAAACATACCTTTCCCACTAAACCCCTCCTTGGAAAGATAGACGGGGTAATTAGGTTGAGATCCACACAAATAATTCACTTTTAATTTGAACTAAAATACTAAGGAACTGTTCTCTTCGTGTTTCAATTTTTAGTTTGAGTTTTGAATTCATTTTGAGTTTTGAGTGTTCAATTGTTCGTTTTAAAATTGCTGAAAACGCGTTTTTTTGTCATTTTGAAAAATTATTTTCAGAAATAAAAAAATGAAGTTTTGGTTTGATTTTAATTGAAAACAACCAAAACGACTTTTTTGACGTTTTCCATTTTCTTTGTAAATTTTAAACTCTTTTTGGAAATTCGTTTTTGAAAATAAGTAAGTAAATATATTTTCAATGTTTTCGAAAGCTGAAAATTTTGAAAATGGTCCGAAAACGGCAAAGAGAACGGGCCTAAATTGTTAAGATCTTACGTGCCAATATTTTTATCCAAGCACATTGTCTAGGGAAAGTGCTATTAATTTTATAACATAATAACTCAAAATTGAAAATTGTGCATATGTTCAAGTCTTTGATGACAAAATAAATTCAGTCTATTTAAATTTAGATAAATAAATGTCTCTCATGTACGCTTTTAGATTAGATGGCCAGGAAATAAAAGTGTTAATCAAATGCAATTTTATTCATATGTTCATGTTAGGCATTGTAGAAATAAGGAACAGAGAAGCATTACCAGCCCCAGAATGACCAATCCGGGAATACAATATCCAAGCTCTTCCAATCCGAGCAGTACCGGAACAGTGGCGGCGGCCCAGAATCCGGCTGCCGGAAATGCTTCGCCTGAATCACCGGCCGGTCATTACAGTCAAACATGAGCTCCAAATCAGGCAATTTCCCGGGGTACCACCTCATTAACTGTACAATTCCCCACAATGTGAACAAAGCCCTAGTTTGAATCGATTGTCTGAATTTCTCCACAAAAATTTTCCCATCCAAAATCACCAATCTGAAATGGGCAGTTTTGCGTGCTTTTTCAACCATTTCCTTTGTGATTCCAGTCTCTCTCCATGGCCTCAAATCCTCGTGAATCCATCGGAAAAATTCTGGGCATTTGAGGTTTAATGAAGGGTTTGGATTGGAGGGTTTGTATGAAGTTGGGTAAGTTTTTGGACATGTATTGGTTTGGTTCCATACAGAGCAATCTAGAGGGTACTCGAGATTTGAAGTTGATGGAGTTCTGCTAAAAATTTTGAGTGCTTTTTGAGAGGAATAACCTGCATATTTAGCCTGAAAAAAAGTAGAAGTTAAACATATATCCCACCTAATTTTATGCTGGGTCATAATCATGGAATTTGATTTTGTTTTACGATCATCAACCAATTTTATATTTTGGATCACCATCATCTTCACATAAATTTTTACCATCACCACCAAGTTATTCCCACCATTTTCATTAATTTTAAAAAGAGTAAAACTATAAGTTTGTTTTATATATAAAATAAATTAAATAAAAACTTATTTTAAAAAAATAAAATAAAAACTTATTTAAAAGAACGTCTTTTAAATAAAATAAAAACTTATTTAAAAAAAAGGTTTTTAAAATAAAATAAAAACTTATTTTAAAAAAAAAGGTTTTTAAAATTAAAAAAAAAATTATTTTTAAAAATTTTATTATATATATATAATATAAAGTTACAATTTTACCCATTTTAAAATTAGTGAAAATAGTAAAAATAAATAGTGAGGCCATGTTGAAATGTTATATGAAATTAGATGGTCATTGTGAAATATTATATGAAATTAGGTGGCCTGGTAAAATAAAATCAAACAGGGGCTTAATAAATTTGGATTTCATCGTCCCACAATTGAAAAGTCTTTAAATTATTTTTAACACAAAAGAAATAAAAAAAATTGAACCACTCGCAGCGATACGTCAAGCCGACCACAATGACAAGTTAAGTCTAATTCTCTATCTACCGAACCACCTTAAAACTACATATATAAACATATACTACATTAATGTATGCCCGAAATATATAACTACTATTAATGGTCAAAACTACATTTTCTACTCTAAACTACCATTTAGAAAATACTAATAAGTATATTCAAAACTTCACATCATAATATAAAAAATTTCACAATCTTTTCGTGTTCCTATATCGTTCTTTAATATAAAAATACTTGCGCTCACTAAATTCCAATTAAAAACTCAAGTTGACCATGTTGGCAAGTTAAGTCTAATTCTCTATCTACCGAACCACCTTAAAACTCAAAAGAAAGGGGTAAAAAAACCGACGGAAAATTCTGAAATTTTTCCAAAGGATATCAATAAGTTTGGAGTCGACTATACGGAACACCATATATCTCTATACTTAAGAGGCTTAAAACTCTCATGATCAGACACCAAGACAAAGAGAAAAACATGCATGAAAGAGGTACTTACTAGGTCAATCCAAGCAGCCAAAACCAGCAAAGAAAGTAGAAAGAAGAAGAAGGAAACAAGAAGAGTGGATTTTGAACTAGCTTTCTTCTTCATTAATCTCCATTTTGATCCAAAAGAATTCCTCTTAAAAACAGGCCTCGTCCAATATGTTTTCATTAATTTCTCTTCACTATTCCCTTTCATCTCTAATTGTTTTCCACCTGAAAAACTAAACTATGCTATACAAAAAAAGTGTATATTATATATATGCAGTTGTAGAGTGAGAAAGCTTGCTTGAATGTATCTTTTAGAGAGAGTATATTCTTGACAAATTTGTAATGCCCTTCTTTCAGGAATACTGCTTCCAAGACACTAAGTCAAGTTTCCCACGTCATAGATTAAATTAAATTAAGCCTTGTTTGTTTCTTATTATTTTCAAAATATATTTTTCTCTCTCTTATTTTTAATCACACATTTTTCAATAAAATAATATTATACGCATACCCAAAACTTTTTCTTAATTTTTAGTCACGCGTTCTCTATCAAAATATTATTTCAAAATGCATTTTGGACACTTTATTTTTCTTTTTAGTCCATTAAACCTTTCTTTTTAGTAACGAATTAAATTTCAAGATTTTCGAAAACACTACAATTACACGAAGATTTTTATATTCTTTTTGCATTTATTATTCATATTATCGTAACGTTAGAAATTCTCTAACAAGGGTTACGGAATTTATTATGCAAAACAAGTTTTTCTTTTCACATTGTTACTCATAAGTTCATCTCTCTCGTGTTCTCACGCTACATTATAATCATTACTCCGATGGGCTATGTACACATCGTTCTCAAGTTCAATAAAAAGTAATTCACGAATTCTACGCAGAGTAACCTTAAAATCCTAGATTTCATAAAGTTTCGAAGAAAATTCATAGAGGTAATCTCTCGTGAGCAACACGCATTTTGCGTTGCCTTCTATGAGCGGAACAATATTCTCGATATATAACACGTCCACCTGAATTGTTGGCTACCCAAAAGATGTGCGTGATAAAAGTGCAATTCAAGTTAAGTGATTTAGCGTGGAAATGAAGGGTTAGCACATGAATTTATATCCCTATTCCTATTCATAATCACATGCAAAGTGTAGCATGTGGGAAGCAATAGTGCGTGACACAAGGATTTTTCATTTTTTATTCTGAAATAAGAATTGATTTTCAACATTCTACAAAAGTTAAAAAATCTAGTTGGAAAGTCAAAACATATTCAATTACAAGCACAACGAATAAACATAAAAATATTAATGGAACGTAGAGTAAAAATCAATCTTTGAAAATAATATTAGACCAGTTGGAATAACCAAAGATTGAGATATAACTCATTAATTTCTTCAAGAACCAGATGAACCAGCGATATATTGATCAAGTTTGCAATTTCGATTTTTTTTTTTTGGAGAAACGATTCAACCATGACATATATCAATATATTATCAACAATAATATTTAATTCTTATGAATTTCGGTAATCCACTGCCTAATTTCTATTGACTTCTTTTAATTACATTCTTTAGGGTCTATACTCCTTAATAATATTTAATTCTTATGAAATTCGGTAATCCACTGCCTAATTTCTATTGACTTCTTTTAATTACATTCTTTAGGGTCTATAGTCCTGACAAATTTGTAGAGCCCTACTTTGAGGGCTTCTGTTATGCCTCGCAACCGAGTCTCCAAACTAAGCTTAGGTGGTAGTCTACATGGAGGTATAAGTCAAAAGTTGACTGAAAGTCAACGGAAGCCACGATTGGTCAGAGTGGCAGGGAAAAGAATTGGCGAAGTCAGAAGGAAAGCTTCCGAAGCTCCCTTGGTCGAAGCCTTAACGGCTCTTAAAAGATCTGCAGGCGATCTTTATGAATGATTGATATGATTTTTGTAATAATGAATGTGTCAAGTCTGTCACCTAGGTTGTAGGGTGGTCGATCCATTTTCAATGTTAGTGATATGATGTTTCGACCTGGAGATGAAGCCACTTGCTTCTTCATCCAACGGTCACCACTTCGGTCAGAACTCTATAAATACCAACTCTTGTAACACTTGAATCTAATGCAACTCTTTACACTTAAAAGTTATTTTGGATCTTCTATCTTATTTCACACTCTTATTTGCTTGTAATAATATTTAATTCTTATGAAATTTGGTAATCCACTGCCTAATTTCTATTGACTTCTTTTAATTACATTATTTAGGGTCTATAGTCTCGACAAATTTGTGGAGCCCTACTTTGAGGGCTACTGTTATGCCTCGCAACCGAGTCTCCAAACTAAGCTTAGGTGGTAGTCCACGTGGAAGTACAAGTCAAAAGTTGACTGAAAGTCAACGGAAGCCACGATTGGTCAGAGTGGCAGGGAAAAGAATTGGCGAAGTCAGAAGGAAAGCTTCCGAAGCTCCCTTGGTTGAAGCCCTAACGGCTCTTAAAAGATCTACAGGCGATCTTTATGAATGATTGATATGATTTTTGTAATAATGAATGTGTCAAGTCTGTCGCCTAGGTTGTAGGGTGGTTGATCCATTATCAATGTTAGTGATATGATGCTTCGACCTGGAGATGAAGCCACTTGCTTCTTCATTCAACGGTCACCATTTCGGTCAGAACTCTATAAATACCAACTCTTGTAACACTTGAATCTAATGCAACTCTTTACACTTAAAAGTTATTTTGGATCTTCTATCTTACTTATTTCACTCTTATTTGCTTGAGTTTAGATCATCTTGCTTTGGTTGAGTTGTTTGTGATTGATTATTAATATGCAATCATCTTTAAATATATCGTTGGTGTCTGAACATTTTTGTCTCCCATCATAAAACATCTCTCATGTCCATGTACAGTAACTTTCTCCAGCCAAGTTTCTTGTGTGGATGCGAGTGAACTCAGCATCTGTTGTCCATGTCACCCTTACAAAAGGGAGATTAACAGCTACTATTTTCAAGATACTATGTTTTTAGAGTTAAACTTTTTTACACTAGACTAAATATTAGACCAGTTGGAATAACCAAAGATTGAGATAAAGCTCGTTAAGAGTTCAATTTCTTCAAGAACCAAATGAAACGGCGATATATTGTTCAAGTTTGCAATTTCAATTTTTCTTTCTTTCTTTTTTTTTTGGAGAAACAATTCAACCATGACATATATTATTAACAACAATATTTAATTCCTATGAAATTCGGTAATACTGCCTAATTTCTATTGACTTCCTATTTAGGGTCTAAAATCTTGACAAATTTTTAATGCCCTACTTTGAGGGCTACTGTTACGCCTCGTCGCCGATACTTCAAACTAAGCTTACGTGGTAGTCCACATGGAGGCACAAGTCAAAAGTTGACTGAAAGTCAACGAAAGTCCCGATTGGTCAGAGTGGCAGGGAAAAGAGTTGGCGAAGTAAGAAGAAAAGCTTCCGAAGCTCTCGCGGCTCTTAAAAGATCTGCAGACGATCTTTATGAATGATTGATATGATATTTGTAATAATGAATGTGTCAAGTCTGTCGCCTAGGTTGTAGGCTGGCTGATCAATTGTCAATGTATTAAATACGTAGCATGCTAGTGATATGATGCTTCGACTGGAGATGAAGCCATATGCTTCTTCATTCAACGGTCACCACTTCGGTCAAAACTCTATAAATACCAATTGTTGTAACACTTGAATCTACAACTCCACTACATGTACAATGATTAAGAGGTAATTTTTACAACCTCTCACATGGAGGTGGGGCCCACTTTGTAAAAATTACAACCTCTTAATCATTGTACAAATAGATTTTTTGCTTGAATCTAATACAACTCTTTACACTTAAAGTTATTCTGGATCTTCTCTCTTAGAATAAAGTGTGAGAATAAACGAACAGTTTAGATCATCTTGCTTTGGTTGAGTTGTTTGTGATTGATTATTAATATGCAATCATCTTTAAATATATCGTTGGTGTCTGAACATTTTTGTCTCGCATCATGGAGCATCTATCATGTCCATACACAGTAACTTTCTCCGGCCAAGCCTCTACGTGGATGCGAGTGAACCCAACATCTGTTGTCCACATCACCTTTACGAAAAAGAGGTTAACAACTACTATTTTCAAGATACTATGTTTTTAGATTTAAACTTTTTTACTCTAGACTAAATAAAATTGGCGACGACAATGTATAACATTTTACATATTTTTCTTAATATTATCAAAATAGTCTAATCTATATATCAAATATGACCAAAATAATTAAAAAAAAATATGCGTTGGTGCACAACCGGTGTTCAAACTACATGAATATATACATAGTATATCTGAATAAGTGATAAATTATGATTATATTTAATCTGTGAGAAGCCTTCTTGAATTTTTATTTTCTTTTTAACAATGAATTATCCTTACAATAGAAATCTTCTAATAACAAATAAACATAAATGATTAACAGGAACCTTAGAGTAAAAATCAATCTTTTGAAAATGGGATTAGATCAGCTTGAACGAGCAAAAATTGATATTCATATCTAAAGTGAGACAAAACTCATATAACTGTCAAATTCTTGGGAAAAGTTGTCCACCCGTTGTTGTGTGTCATATCACCCGGTACTTATTATAAGTTAAATATCGATACTTAAGAGATTAATTCCGTGTGTGGTTGGGGTGGACAAAATGCCCAAACCAAACCAGGCGGTTCGATTCGGTTCTACAAAAAAAAAATTAATAGTTTTGATTCTTCGAACAAAAAACCATTTGGTTATAGTTTTGGTTTGGTTCCGATTCTATAACTAAGAACCAAACCGAGAACCAAACTTAATTTATAATTTTATTTTTTGTATAAATTTGATTTTATGTCAATTGAAGCTAGTTCAATAGCCATTATTTAGGTACAGCCCATAAAACGTGTTTAGCCCATTAATTTTAATTGTATTCAATATTTGTGCTTAAACATCACTTCAATGCATTATTTCAAATTCAAGCCCTCAAAGTCCCAAATACCTCCAGACGCCTTCCTAAATTCCTAATCCCTCAAACAACGCAGCTTTTCTGTGCGGAAACTCCAACTTTGTCGCCACCAATTTGCTGTTCCTCCAAACCATTAAGGGTATTGTAAAAAATATCATAATTTACTGGACATCTTTCTTTTTTTTCATAGTTTTTTGTGCAACTTTATATATATTAGTCAAAGATTCTAGTCAGA